TATAGCTAGTACAATTTTTTATGCGTTAATAGTTACGTTTTCTCATAACAAACATACTTTTTGAAAATTAAAAAATATTAACTTTTAACAAAGTTATTGCAAATTTAGTGCAAATATCTTCATTTTCCGTCTCCGCGCACACCAATTTTACCATATCCCTGCTTCTATTGAACAGATTGAGACGCACGACATCTCATTTTAAAGCTTGAACTTTATTTTACAAGACAGTTAAGTTCCATTTATTAATTAATTTATTTATCAATCAAAAACGCTGGTTTTATTTGTTTATAAGGCTTTTTTTATTCAACTTCGATGAAAACCCAACAAAGTTACCGGATATTGTTCCTCGCATCCTAGCAATCATTTCATGCCTTACAGTTATTAGTTTTTCTTTAGCAAAATCCGTGAAAAGACGCTCGATCAGAAAGCTCAGAGTGCAAGTGCACTATGTACTCTATGTTTACCTACGACCACTACTGTAAATACTTAAAAACACACCGTCTGCGATCGATGTAAGATTCCTATTACGTACGGTAAAAAAATTGCACAGCTTGGTAAAAAAATCGTACAGTTTTCCTAGCAACAGCCTAGCGGTAGACGGTCAATACAAACAGTATTGTATTGACCGTTGCTAGGCGGTTGCTAGGAAAACTACGACTTTTTTACCAAGCTGTGCGATTTTTTTACCGTACGTAATAGGAATCTTACATTAATCGCAGACGGTGTGTTTTTAAGTATTTACAGTAGTGGTCGTAGGTAAAGTATAGTACGTAATACCAGATGTAATGCATTTTACGCACTCATAGAATTACGCACTCGCCGCTACGCGGCGTCGTGCGTAACTTTTGTATTCGTGTGTAAAATGCTTTTTACAACACTTATTACGTAATATACTATAATCTAATTAAACAAAAATTGCAAACCATTAAGCTTTGCAAGGAGATCCTACAAACTATTTGATCAATTTTCGAACAGGTAAAGGATACAAGGGATATTTTGGTAAAAATAAAGGTAAGGATTTTGGAAAAAGTTCATTGTAAATTTCATTGTCAAGGCATTAATAAAATTAATCATAACCGGTAGTTTAAATATTTAAAAATGTGATGTTCCATTTAATAGATTATTCAGAAACCACTATCGATGCAAATATTAAAATGGCAGAAGGAAATTTAATTAAAGTCGTAAATAAAGATACAACTTGTAAGAAGTTTGATGACTTTAGTATGGTCTTATCGTCATTCAAAATCCCCTTTAATAGAAGGGCTGCCTCCTATAAGTGTCTCAATACAAATGCACATTTTAAGGTGTACAACCAGGTAAACTATTTAAATAACCACTATGCAAAATTAGACCCACACATGTTCGGCTGGATAGATGATGGAGATATGCTTACTCCAGAAAAAATACAAATATTGCTTCTCCACCAGATGAACTCATCACTAATTGCACATGCAAAGTATGCTCTAGAAGATCATGTGTTTGTGTGGCTGTAGAAATTAAATGTTGCTCATTTAACCAAGGCAAAACACCTGCAAAAATGTCTATAATGAGCCCATTATTAAAAAAGAAATAAATAAATTAAAATCTTTAAACAATTGTTATTACTTATGTAAATCTTATAAATAATAATGTTAATGCTTTTTTATTATTTAATCTTTGTGACTTCTTAATAATAAAAGTTTATAACACGTTGCGTTCTTGCACTCTGAGCTTTAGATCGAGCGCGCGTGCATCGCTCTCGACGTATGCGCGTCTCTTCACGGGTTTTGATAAAGAAAAACTAATAACTGTAAGGTATGAAATGATTGTTAGGATGCGAGGAACAATATCCGGTAACTTTTTTGGCTTTTCATCGAAGTAGAATTATAAACTAATAAAACCAGAATTTTCGTTGAAATTTCACAACTTTCTAAGCTGCCATTAATTGTTAAATAAATAAATTAATAAATGGAACTTACCCATAAATTTCAAGCTTTAAAATGAGATGTCATGCGTCTCAATCCGTCCAATAGAACCAGGGATATGGTAAAATTGGTGCGCGCGGAGACGGAAAATGTAAGATATTTGCACTAAATTTGCAATAACTTTGGTTAAAGTTAATATTTTTTTAATTTTCAAAAAAGTATATGTTTGTTATGATAAAACGTAACTATTAACGCATAAAAAATTGTACTAGCTATAAAAATAAACTTTTTACAGTCATTTAAACATTTAATTTGTTAATAACAATTAAACTGACCACTTTCAGGCTTTGCGACCAAGTTTTTTGGATTCAGGAGGTCAAAATACTTACGAATTAGTTGTTTGCAGTCGTGGCACTTTGATTGGCCACGGAACCCTAACTAGCTCTAGACTATAGGAAGACTCTATGAGGTGATCTCCTAGTATGCATGCCCAAACATTCAATTTCCTCGGATGCTGCGTATGAGTTTCATGACAGTGCGTGAATTTTGATCACTCCAGTAGCGGCAATTATGGCGTTTGACTCGACCATCCAGTTGAAACGTACACTCATGGGAAAACAGATTGAGTACAAAAAAATTTGGATTCCTTCGAGCAAGATCACTTATTTCTTCACAGAACTGCAAGCGGCGATCAGGGTCGTCTTCATAAATTTTTTTCATTAATTTCTTGTACCAAATTAATTTTATATGGGTGATACTTATGAAATTTTAAGATTCGGCGTCAACTAGGTACAGAAATTCCTGAAGTATTTCAAGTTTTCTACCTGATTACCCTCATTATGTATGACCTGCTCACGTTGATGCTTTATGTTTGCAACCGATCCAGTCCAGTTTTTGTCAGGATGACGATCATTAAAAATCTGTGCAGCCTGCCGTGTAGTCATTATTCTTGTAGAACAAACTAATTATTTCCACTTTTTCACCATTTTCACGAATTGGAATTCAGTCGACTTTCTGATGATTTTACGGGATGCTGCCTCGGCAAGACAAGACGCTAAATATTGTCTCGTTTAAAGTAAAACAGGTAAAAAAGCTGAACTGATAGAGTATAAAGTTTTTGTATTGAAAACTCAAAACAAATTTTTTTATCAAGGAACTGTTGCAGAATATCGTCAGATAACGCCCGAAATGTTTCGAAATATTCGTTCGGAAGTGGAGCAAAGATTTTGTTATTGTGTGGAAACAAAGGGAAGCCAACTTGGAACTTGAACATTTAATAAAATATCTTGATATTCATTGATATTTTCTCTTGTTCTTTAAGTGATGATTTTATTGTCATATCCAAACCAAAATTTAAACAGTCGTATATTATCGTGTGTAGAATTGTAAAAGCTTTAAAATGAGGTGTCACTCAACATAGGGTGTCAAGTTTAAGGTTATTTCACACCATGTAAAATACCCTTAAATGGCTAAAATGGGACCATGTGTCCCCCTTGAAATGAAAATCGACGTTTCCCAAGTTTTTTTTGTTTTCCGATATTTTCCAGGTGGGAAGTTTTTTAGGAATAAGTATAATTTTCTGTGTCGATTCCAAGCGACTTAGTATAGTCTTTCCGAAGCCAGTTGAACATGTATAAAAACGCCTAGCTATAAAATTTAATGAGTTTCGTAGGCGTCTAAACAAATTTTCTGCTAAAGGTAAAAAATTATAATAATTTGTATATAATGTGTAGTAAAATTTCTATTATATGTTCATTTGAGCAACAACATATTTTAATTATTTATGTCCTTAAATAATTTTATTATATTGATGGTAAATTTCGTTTTGTTCCGTTTCAAAAAGTCGTGTCGTGTTATATTAATATTAGTAAACAAAATATCCCTCTTATTTTCCTCTTTAGCAATTGTAATATGAATGATTAATAGAATAAGGTGCCTATAATAAATTAAAATTACCTGAATCACACCAAATTCCGCATTGCTGCACTGTACTGATAGGCCATTTGTCGACTGAATTTATTGCCAGTGCGGTTATGTTTGTGCCGCGTTTGCCCGCGCGCTCATTCTTGAACTGGGCGACCAGACCTGTATATGGGTATATCTAAATAAATATGGGAACAAGTTTTTCAAATATTTCAATGCCGAGTTGCTGCGTCAGCGACTGAATCTGGTACATATATACTGCCAACATCTTGGTTCTTCAATTGAGATCGGAAAAACTATACTATACCTATTTAAATACAAACAAATTCTAGAAATACGATCCACGAACATGTTTAGACCTTGTGACAATTCAACACAAGTAGTCTTTCTCTTAAATCCATGAACGTACTTAAGATTAATGTTGACGGCACATCACAAAATATCAGACAGGTATAAATTATGCTTGGTAGGTTTAAATTTAGATATGCCTCACTAATGCAGCTGCAATAACACACTTCAAATTGTAAAATATAAATAAAATTGGTATTATTGAATAAATTTTAAATAGCGATTTTAAAGCTTTAAGGCCCGTGCTGATATTTAATGCACAATGGCCACCACCAAGGCTTTTCATTGCACTTTCTTAGCTAGGAATCTTTAGTCTGTTCTTGTTTTCGGCTCTCTGGGTATGTATGTACCCGCTGTCAGAATATCTAGGCCTGCCATGATGCTCATTTTGGTTCTCATCAGATCACATCCAATGTTTCTAAACTTTTCGCCGTTCTTCACTGTCGACGTCTACGGTGGTGACGGCAAAAAATTTCCCAAGATTGAGGTCGCTTACGACCTCATCGCCGGTCTTGTAACCGACACTGTGTTGCCCGTTTATATATAGATATGTCTTGATTAGGAAGAAATAGGAAGTTGAATTATTAGCTTCTCTAATAATTTTTAAGTAAATATAGAAATGACCTCCTGTTCTCATGTACTGTTAAAAATTCTGTACAGCTTATTGTCGCCCATTCTGAGGTAGGTACCTATTCTTTAAATTATTAGTATTAAGTAAATTTGGAACAATCGGGTTCTTTGTAAGCAGCGCAGCTTATAAAAGCAATTATATAAATCTACGTTTATTGTTACAAGAATATTTATTTAAAATATAATGGTAGTTAGTTATAAATTAGAGGTGCAACTTCTTATAATTGAAGGTTGTATATTAGTTTCATACTGTTCTAGTACATGTTCACCGTCGCGAGTGTAAGATGGATCAAACATTTTGCCTTCGGGATTCTCCTTAAACAGAAATTCCGCTAGGAAATCCACGGGATCGTCAGGTTTTATTTTGGCCACCTCGATCAGAGCCTTGGTAAGCGTCGGAAAGATGTATTTCATTAGATAGTTCCGTAAAGGCTCAGTTTGAGCAATCAAAATTTTTTCCTCCTCCATTTGAAGCTTTTGCAAAGTGTCGGCCCATCTTTCCATTTTGTCTTGGTAGTTCAGCATTGCACTTTCTTCTCTCAACTACAATGAGGCATAATTATTTTAAAATATGCCTTTAGCATTCCATCAAAGGCTTGTTATACACTAGCAAAGTTTTTTAAAATACTCGATCTGAAAGATCGAGCTTAGCGATTCTAGTTAGAGCGATTCCACTGGATAAGGTTTCGAGTCATTGATGCACAATATACGGAGTAATGATGATTTTAGATTTTAGCGGAGCTGATCCGCAGTTGGACCAATTCTGCGAATTGATTGCAGTTTATGAGATAATGAAGGAATCAAGGCAATTCCTTCGAACCTTTGAACAAGCTTAAAAGACAGTCGGATTTGGATTGAAGCGTGCTTATGCTTAATACGTGGAATTATGTCGAGGAAAAATGAAGAGTAATTGCAACCACAGCAGCTGGAATGAATGGTTAACAGAAATAAGTATGTGCTGGAGGAAATCGAGAGGAAATGGAAGATATAATAGAATGGACAATTCGAGGCAAAAGTTAACAAGTTGCTTCTACAAAGTTTAGACTTACAAAATAATTATCAGGGCTACATGTAGATGGCTGACATATCTGGGTATAGTAACTAAAAAGTTTTAATAAGTATACAAGCATGTACATAAAATTAGTTACTGAAAAAGCAGAAACTGTAGCAGTATTGATGCAAATATTTCTGATTTAAAAATGCAGGCAGCAGAAAGATTCTTCAGTGTAATAAACTCCAAAAATGCAGGACGAAATTATAAATGATTTGCTGTAAGTATGAGAGTGTAATTAAAGAACTATTAAGATATGAGTAAATCGGAAACACAGAGAAACAGGGTATTGCCTGATGCAGTTTTTATCTAGACATAGTAAAGAAAGACCAGTAGGAACAAGCCATTTTCAGAATTCATTCATATTACCTATACGTTTAGTATTTACCTTTGTTGTATGTTTTGTGGATACTTGCTAATTGATTTGTGGTGTTACCCTAACCCGTAACTAACTAGAAATAATGTCCAATAATACAATAAACATTCTAAATCATAAGCGTGAATCGCAATATGTAGTTTAAAAAGATTACAACTTATTTTTTTGCTCGTATAATCAAATTACAAAATTGAATTGACATTTTGAGTACTTTACCTACAATTACATTTTGATGATCACTGGTTTCTCATACAAATGTCGGCTTTTCAGTTCAAAGGTCAAATAATTCGACTGGCCGATTTCATTCATAAATTAACCCGCTGTCCCTACTGATATGTCTATGTATGAAGTGAAATGCGACTATTATTGAACAAATAATATACCTTCAGGAGAAAACTGTTATGGGATAGATGGACTTAAGTAAGAGTCAATGCAATTGAGGATCAACTTGCAACATATATTGTAGTTAGAACATTTTGGGGAGTGAAACACAATGGTCAGATTTAGATAAGATCATAACTGACATATTGAAGAGGAACAAGACGAAGAAAGAAGATATCCTGTAACTGATGAACTAGTTCATATATTCTATTGAGCGCAATGGCCCATGGCGGGGTACAAATACCACTTACTATTTTTTTGCAATATTTACCTTTCTTTCCAGTCGGAACTCCTCTTGCTGCAATTTCTGTTGTTCTTGTTCCAGTCTAATTAATTCGGTCATTTCTTCTGGCGATAATCCAAAACCAGGAATAGGTTCTCCTAGTATAGTGATTACTGTGGTCCATATGCACTCAAAATCCACTGGTTCTTTGGTATCTTCATCCAGTTCGTTCAGCAGGACGGGATGTATTCCGTTATCGTCGAACAGTTTCAGCATAGTGTTTTCCTCTGTATTGTTCAAGCGAAATAATGCTAATCTTCTTAGCATATTCACTTCGTCGTAATTTTTGCTCTAAAGAAAACAAATGTTTGTAACTTTGGGCATTTTATTTTGGCTTCCTGAATACTATGTGAACTTCATCTCACCGCTCTTACGCAACTTATTTTTTGAAAAAGATCATTTCATTTTTCAGATTTTGACAAATTCTTTGTACACTTTTTGTTATCATCCCATTAAAAATAATTATATTGTGGTTGTTGTTTTTAGAAGATAAGGTTCCGACTAACAGAGATTGCTTAGAACTGATTCCTACATTTTAGTTTGTGAAATAAATGCCTACTCAGAACAGTACCTGTATAATTTTATGGGGAAGTCTCATCACGCGCTCACAAAGCATGTCATCTGTGGCCTGGAGGCTGAAGACAAAATCCGGCATGATCTTATTACTGGCATTTCCTATCAAATCACCGATTTGATCCTGAACGGGACTTGCTGCTCCCTCGCCGCCTCCTTCGCCTGGAACTGCTAAGCCGGTCCCGTCCCCTTCTGCATTCGGTCTGGATACTTCTGCAGCTTGACCGAATATTTCTTTGGCCTTTAGAGTTAGTAAATACATTTCAAAATGGTTTAATATTTAACATTCCCACTGGTTTTAATAACGATATATTGTCTAAACAACTACTTCGCAGACTACATGCCCCTTCTAATAATATGCTTCAGTCGAATTAGAATTTAAACGTGAAAAAATTATTAGTAGGCACTTTATTGCACTTTATGACGGGGCAGACGGGGAAGGGTATGTAGAATGATAGGTAATATCTAAAAAGTAACTCGAAAGAAGTGAGGCTAAGTTGGCAAACTGCAAATGGCTTTACGTGTTTTCTCCTTTTTTTACTGTTCATGAAAATCTAGACAACCTATCGGGAAATTATTCATTTTATGTTGTAAGCAATTAAATTATCTACAGTTTAAGATATCAAAAGTTAAAATTTTACCAAATTTCGGAAATTGCGCATTATTATTGCAAATAGCGGTGGATGTTGATGAAATTTATGGTCAATCCAAAGATGAGCAATAATTTCACGCGGCCAATTGGATCGGCGTTTGGCACACATGTTGATCATTGGATTGACCGTATTTTCCATAAATTTCATAAACACCCATCGCTTTTTGCAATAATAATGCGCAATTTGAGAAAACTGATATTTCCGTCTACGACCTTCATTTTATAGTTAACAAATTAGTGAAAAATGACTCTAGGTACCTTAAATAATAGGTACTTAATTTAATTGCATACAACATAAAATAACTAATATTCCGATAGGTCGTCTAGATTCTCGTGGGCAGTAAAAAAGTAAAAAAAACGTAAATTTGCCTCGTAATTGCAATTTGTCAACTTAGCGTAACTTTTTTGATATTATCGTTTTTTTTGCATTCTGCTCCTGAAATAGGCCCGCACGCTTCAGGACACCTTGTATCAAATACCTGTTGAATATTTTTAGGATATCCGTCTAAGACATATCCACTGCGTTGGCAAGTGTCGTTCACCAGGAACGTCTTCATGAGTCTCACTACATAGTCGTCGGGAAGTTGCCCGTCTACACTTTTCTCTAGGGATATTGTTATATCTCTGTATTGTTCCTCCCACTCCTCAACTGGACCCATAGCTTCTTCTTCCTCTTCCTCTACTTCCTCTTCTTCTTCCTCCTCTTCGCCCATATCTTCTTTTATTATCTTCTCTACTTTAGGTCTTTTCATCGCTATTCTTTCTCTCTCAATTCTGATTTTTGTTCTCTGTGAATTAACGTTTTACATCAATATATCTAACTGGGAATGTATAAATTAGAAGATACATATTTCAGATAAAAAAAGAAACAGAATCATTTCAGACTTTTGCCAAATTTTCCTGTTTTCTTTAATTAATAATGCGATTAATTAAATATTTAGAGTGGGGGAGGAAGGCGGGGTTGCACCCTCTTGTCCAACGACCCATAACCGAAATAATGAGTAGTAACTTGAAGAACATTGTAATACAACCTACCAGATCCTCCAGAATTTCTTCAATCATCGTTTTAACGGTCACATAATGTGCGCCATAGAGTTTGCACAGTCTCTGGGCTAGCGTCGATTTGCCAGAGGCGGGAGGGCCATGGATTATAGCTTTCAAAGGTTGTACGGTTGTTGTAGGTTCTTGGGGATTAGGATTCATAGTGATTTATTTGACTAATATCTACTTAATAGGCATAAAATTAAGACTAGTTTGGACTGGTTCAAATAAATGTGTCAGTTCTGACATAATTTTGTCACTTGTAAGAGGTTTTATGTCAACCATCGATTTTGTAAGCTACGCTAGCGTCAACATTTAGTTACCTAGGCACTAAGAAGGTATGCACATAAGAAACTATAGACTTCTACTCCATATAATATAATCTATAACTCCGCGGTCGAAATTATAGAGAGTGACTAAGACATAATATAAATACACTATTACTATAATGCGCATAAAATATAAAATGATTTTTATAACGGTTCAATATTATTTATCTTTGTGCCGCTCACTACGCACATCGATAGAATCTATAATCGTCTATAGACTGAGTTACACTGAACGTCGATCTATATTCTATCTCTGTCTTTTGCACTTGGTAGGGAATAGGGAAATTCTTTTTTAATGGGTGTAAACGGACTTGATTTAGCCGTCCTGAGAAACGTCATAGCATAAGCGTAGACGCGGGGTCTAATTCCATTGCTATAATAAATTTATAAATTAAAAAATCACAACTGGGACGTTTAAAATGCTGTAATAATTAAAATGGATCAAAGTGCCGGTTATAGCAAACCGTAAAAAAATATTAGATGTTATGTTTTTTTAGCTTTTTTCAATATTTTCTATATCTTGTTGCCTTTTACGCAGACACGTCAATGGATTTTCGTTCCCGGCACGCTTCATCCCCCTTACTAGTCCAAAAGCTAGCGATGAGTCACTCTCTATAATTTCGACCGCGGAGTATAGGCTTCTACTCATGCTTTATGAGATAGAATAAATTTGAATGTTTTCATGATGAATCATTTAATAATTTCCATCCAATAAATAAAAAAGTAGCCACCTTGAATAACTTCGTATTGGGTTATTTTTAGCCAAATTATAGAAACATGTCGACTAAATTGGCGATATGTAAATAAATATACAGGGTGTCCCGAAATTCATGCAACAAAATTCGGTCACAGATTCTTAAGACAAATTTAGGGGACCCGTAATTTTTATTTTTGCCAAGTGGCCCCCTATTTCGGAGTTACAGCCCCCTGAAGTCTGTCCCTAAGAATAATATTTTTTTATATCTCAGAACCCTGTTGTACGAGAATCACTAATTTTGGTACACGGGGGTTTTATGACATGTGAAATCTGATGGTGCTACGTTTTTTGGCGAGGAACTCCCTTAAGACAATTTTTCGTGGGCCCCCTTGTTTTTGGAGCCAAAAAATTTGGTCGCATATTTAAATTTCTTAAAAATTAACAGTCCACTAGAAAGCCATTAAATTTAGAAACTTTTGCCTCTTTATACTTTTTTCGTAAAATACAATGTTTCGAGAAAAATGTCCAAATGTGATCGAATGCATATCGTGATTCGCTATTTTCTTCAAAAACATTGCGTTTTACGAAAAAAATATCAAGTGACAAAAAAGTTTCTAAATTTAATGGCTATTCAATCTAATTAATAATTTAAAAAAAATCTAATTTGCAACCAAATTTTTCAGGTTTCAAAGACGAGGGGGCCCACGAAAAAGCGTCTCAAAGGGGTTTCTCGCCAAAAAGTGTAGCACTGTGAGATTCCACATGTCATAAAACCCCTGTGTACCAAATTTAGTGATTATCGTACAACATTTTTAGAGATATAAAAAAGACTTCTTAGGGGCAGATTTCAGGGGGCTGTAACTCCGAAAAAGGGGACCAGTTGGCAAAAAGAAAAAATACGGGTCCCCTAAATTTGTCTTAAGAATCAGTGACCAAATTTTGTTGCATAAATTTCGGGACATCCTGTATAATATTTTTGGCATAAAAATCCAGTTAAATAATATCTTTTGTGATACTTAAAAAGTATATATTTGTCACATTATTTATTTAATTCTATGCTCCCCCAAAAATATTCCACTGTTTGTTCCAGTCGCACCATATTGGTTAACTAGATTACGTTGGCTTACGGGTGCTGACAATTAGCAGACTGGACCTATTATGGTTTTTAAAATCGAGATAATGTTTCTATTGCGTAAAAAATATTAGCGTTTGTTTTTGTTAACCAGCAAATGATTTTGCATCGGCCATTTTTTTAAATACATTTGTATATTCTTCTTATAGATCTAAATTAGATTCGCTAGAATTAGTTTAAACTCAATGTACAATACTTGCACTAGTCAAAAAATTATCAATTTTATTGTAAATGTAAGTACCCAGGGAGCCTTAAGCTCTGTCATTGTCCCGGAGTCTGGTGCACATATCAGTAAAAAGTTTCGGAGTCTGTTCTTTATCCTTTATCTACTTGCCAATATCTCAACCACAGCAACATCTAGATAAAAAAATACTTTGGTGATGGGATTTTGAAAACTTGAAACTACGAAACAATGCTCCATCAAACATAATTCAATTTTAATTCAATCTGCAGTTACAATGGCCAAATCTATAAATGTTTAATATTAGGTTCTAGGTTCTGCATTATTTGTTTATTTATTACACCTGCCATACATCTTAATATATTTTTTTGAACAATAAAAATATCTGAAAATAAAGTTGGACCACCCCATAAGCACAAACCATACCTCAACCTAAACTCGACTAAACCGTAATATATACAGCGTGGTAAAAAAGTTCTGCATAAAATTCATATTTTCGTTAAACAATTTTTTTTTCGAAAAACGGTGAGACCCGTCGATTTTTATTTGATCCAGGGCACCTTGTTATGCGGAAAATTTTTTTTTTCGATAATCCACTTACGGCAGCGTTGACATATATTTTTTTTTTAAATGACAACGCATATTTTTTTCGTTCGAAATTGATGACAGTGATAATTATCTAAACAACGGTGTGAAAATTTCGATGTCTTACATAACAATTTTTTTTAGAAAAATGCACCTTAAGTTCTTATA